TTTTTTGGTTGGAAAAAGAAAGAAGATCCTTCCCTTTTTTCTGATGGTTGCCGAAATCCTCTGCTTTGATGAGAACCGATGATGGTGGTGACGATGACGATGATAGTAGAGAGATGGGCAAGGATGGTGAAGATTGGAGTTCAAAGGGAGCTTGGGAGAGGCTAACCGGCTGCTAAATCCTTCCTCTCCAAATTCCAAATCTGCTTGTGCGGCCCGGGTTCAGGAGAGAGATCGAGAGAGAAGGAGAGAACTCTCCTTTTTTCTTTTCGGCCTGCTCCAGGTTCTGCCGTCCCTCCTTTTAAACAGAAAGGAAGCTAGGGTTCTTTATTATTGGGTTTGGGCCGATGGAGTTAGGCCATTTGAGATGGGTTTGCTGTGTAAATGGGCTGAGCTTCAAGGATGTTGCATGCTTTTTGTAATTTAATCTCTAACTTTGATTTCCGCCAATTGAGTCCCCTTTTTTGAGTTTCTTTTCTAATTTTTTTTTTAATTTCTTTTTTGCATGAAGCACCTAAAATAAAAATTAAGATATATTAGTTAAAGAAAAAAAAATTCATATTTCTATATTTTTATGTTTTTTTTGACATTTTATAAATTTTTATGATTTTTGATTAATTTTGAGACTTATATATATATATATTTTTCTTTCTTTCTTTCTTTCTTCTTCTTCATTTGTTTTTTTAATGAAAAATCTAAATAAACTTAAATGAAAAATCAAATCCTAAGACAGAAAGAATAAGGCTAATTAAAAAATATATTTTTTTTGATAAAAATTTGAGTTATGATAGGAATCATATGGGGAAATAAAATACAATAAATTTCAAAAAGAATGATGCAGTAACAGAGATCGCAAGAACATGAGACTTTAAAGTTCTGCACAATGCATTTTAGAGCTAGCCATTAACGTATCATACACACATCACTCCTAGTACCAAAACGGAAAACGGAAAACTATAGCATACTGAACATCAAAGTTGCAACATTTATTGTATAGTGAAGTTCAAATCATAAAACAATAATTTCATAATTTTTTTATTTTAATCATATTGTTATTTATAAAAATATATTTTTCAATATGAATTGTATTTGTTTTATATAGTTTAGATACTAAAATTAACAAAATATTATTAGCAAATTAATAAATTAAAGATAGTAAATTAAAAACATTATTTAAAATCTTAATCTTTTTAGGATAAGGAAAAATAAAGACATTTTAATAATAAAAAATATTAAATGACTTTTAATTAATTAATATATGAAAAGATTATGAAGAATATTTAAATAATTTTATAAAAAATTAAAATGTCTTATTTTTATTTTTTGTTAAAAAGGCAAAAAAAAAAAGGAAAATAAAAAGGGTATATACATATAAGTTTTATGTTTTCATTCTACAATTTTAATATTAGTCTTGGAATTGAAAATTAGTACTAAACAAACTCCATCAACGGGAAATTATTAAATTAACAAATAAAAGCATTTTATTAAGGATATATTTTAATAAGGGGTTAGTGTTTATCTATTTATTTTT